ACTTTCAAGAAACATATCAGTTCTGTGTAAGTGTTGAAGTTACCTTGTTTGTGCTAGAAAGTGACTAGTAAGTTGATCCATATGATATAATTATTAGTACTCAGATTTTTTATGTCTTTAAAATAATTTTTTCCGGTAATTTTTCTATCAGGAAAAATATATTCATTAGCTTGTGGTTTTGGTACACAGAGACTGATGATATTTTTTTTTCTTATTTCATAATTACACTTTGCATTAATGGCTTTAATATTGCCATCATACATGTAGTTTAGCTAATCTGTAATTTACAGAGTGGAAAGTGTATCCAGTTTATGTAAGCTGGTATTTATTTAGCTGTCCCCCTTATCTCAGACCTGCTTTATTTGTGGGCATGATAGAAGTGTCAGCCTTAAGCCAGTGCAGCCAATGCACTTGGTCTCAGAGGTCAAACAGTGATGTCTGACATCCTCTCATTTCAGAGCCTTTTTTTTTTTTGCAGCTTGGTACTGACACAGTTCTCTATTTTCAATTGCTCTTTAGAGCTACTATGAGTTCTTTCACATTACTTCCTTAGGTGAGGTTTTTTAAGGACTTGGGCATGCAAGTTAGTTCTAATGGAACAAATAATGGCATTAGACCTCTCTTCTGTTAAAGATGTGCCTGGATGTAATCCTACTGTAGGTGGTCAACAGAGTTTGGTATTTTTCCTCATATAGGTCAACTGTATGTTCACTTCGGCTCATCAGTTGTCTTTTGTTGAAGAATTCTTTTCTGGGCATGATTATAGAACATCCTTCCTCTAAGGAGGAAGTGTCTTGTCTGAAGGAGGTTTTCCAGTGACTGTTTCTGTATGGGGATGCCCTCTTCCTCATGGTGCTTTGCAATGGGCAATACAATTGTGGGAAGTAGGGAAGTAGAGTGGGAGGCTTTAGTCTCTTCTGATAGTGATCAGATCTCTCTCTTCGTTTTGTGACATCTAAATGCACTTGTGCACTGGTTAAGCTTTTTTTTCCCTTTTCTTTGTGACTTTGGGTGAAAAAAGAGCATTCAAGTAACAGTTCTACAGTTCCACACAGGATGATGTAGTTGTGTCTAGTTACAGGGAATTGATTTTTGGTTGTTGAACAAAGTTCATGCAGGACTGTCCTGATACACTTGTTTAGATTGAATTTTTGACATTACATACTGCAGGATTAAAATAAAATACAGTATTTCATAAATGAACAAAGCTAAATATTATTTAGATATCTGTGCTGTTCTGATTATGACTACTGAATTATGCCTGATACTTTGTTTTTCCATGCCTTCTGGGGAATACAGTTGTATCTTTTTTCAGGGTGTTCAAACAGTATGTAAAATATTGAACACATTTCAAGGTGTTCAAACAGTATGTAAAATATTACCCTTCCTATATGTAGTTAAATCAATTGTCTGCTGAAAATCTGTATTATCTTAATATTGTATTTTCATCTTCTGGCTGTAGTAAGGAAAAGGTACCCTATCTATTGTGACAGAAATTCTCCTGGCATATTTCAAAGGAGACCTGCCTGATGAGTTTTGAGTCTTCTTCCAAGGCAGCACACAGCCAGTAAATGAGGTGAACAAGTAAATCTGAGGAGAGGGTCTTGGGCCATGCATTTTCAGCAGGGTCATCTTGGTGCCTGCTTGGCAAGCAGAGGTTTTCTGTCCTAGGAGCATCCAGCTGGGCAGCGTGGTGTTCATCTTCAGCAGGTGGTGTCATCTCCTGGGCTCAGACTCAGCCTTGCCAGGTGTGTGTGTGTTTTGAAACCCCAACCCTGAAGGGCCCCTTTTCTGGAGGAATCCCAGACAGCAGCCTGGGAGTGCTTCCCCAAATTGCAGCCATTTTTAGATGGAGACAAACAGTGACTATAACTTCTCAGGACTGAGGCAGAGCAATGAACCTGGTAGTGCCAGTGGGAAGCAGTTTGGGAACCCTGGAAAGTGGCTGGAGCCATGTAGAGCATGGTACCTCTGTGCTCAGTGTTAACCTTTTCTTTTCTGTGTAATTTTGCCACTTTGTCTCTCCTGCCTGATTCTTCACAGTTCATACTGTATTCCAAACCTGGATGCTTCAAGCCTGCTGCACTGTTTAGGTCAAAATGGACACCTGCACATCTTTTTCCATTTTTCATAGTCTGACTATGATTGGATCTTCATTCTCAGAAGTTTCTTCACCTTGAGTAGCAGAAATATCTATTTAAATTTGACTTGAAATGAAGAGATAATCTATGAAGGCAAAAAATGTTAGAAATCTGTCAGAACTTTGCAAAAAATATTAAGAGAAAAGAAAATCATTGAAGCAATTTTTTTGTCATCTTGGTTGCTTATGAGGAAAATCATAGAGGTATTTTGGCTTAACTGGTGGATGACAAATGGAAGCTATTGGAGGTGGATTTTGCTTACAGTTGAACTGGAATTATTAAGGTATCTTCCTGGTTGGGGCTGAAGATAGATTCAGGTACACTGATATCTTTCAGAAATGAAATAGTTGCCAGTATTGTGTGGTAACATTTAATAGATGATAGTACATAAAATAGAGGAAGATCAGTCAATATTTATTTTTTCATTAGTTACTATAGTTATTTTTATATTTACTAGAATATTATTCATTCATGCATTTATAATCAAGTTTTGTTATATCTGTGGACTGATAACTTCTGCATGGCAAAAGATTCTTGTATTCTTGCAATAAAGAGACCAATTATTTCCAATTTCATTGTGGGTTTTGCTTTTTTTTCCCCCAAATAGCAAAGTTCAAGTGTGTTAATTAAGAAAAAGCTTCACCTATACTTAAGTGGACACTGGTTGAAATAACTTAATATAAAAGTGTTACTTGTAATAGTATAAAGATTTTCCAGTTGCAATTAGAGAAGCACTGAGTATAAGCAATGTTGAACCAAACTGAACTTGACTAAGTGTTCTCAAAAGATTTGAGAACTTGCAGAGAGTCTGCAGTGGTGGTTACCCTGATGAGATGCTGCACATCTTGTGTCACCTGTGACAGGCAAATCAGTGTGACCTTTCCTGTGGGGGGGGGAAATAGGATACAAGTAGTTTTAAGTGAATCAAGCAACTGCTTACATGTGAAATACTAATCTATTTGTCTTCTAAAAATGCTATGTAAAAAGCACTTATTATTATTTAAGGAGTTCCAGGCACAATTGCAGTATATAAATTTTACAAGTATAAAAAAAACCTCTTTGTGTTTTGCTGTGGTGAAAACTAATTTCCAGATTTTTCCATGGCAGTAAATTCTGACCTTTCCAGTTGAGAAATCTCTGTTGTATTGTTGCATATTAAACATTCAGATCTATTTAAAAAGCTGATTACAACATTGGTATGAAATCTTAGGAGACCAAGTCAATCTCTCACAGGTAAATAACAAGAAATTAAGATGTGTATCTGAATAGATATTAATCTATTCAAAGTGTATGAATAAAACTTGTAATTATAATGCATATTGCTCATAGTTGTTTGGTTGCTGCACAAAAAATACTTTTCCAAATGCCAGGATTTTAGTAATTTCTAACAATCGGGGAGCATGTATTAACTTCTTTGGCATTTGTTTAGTGAACATTGCTGGAGCAAACTTAGCGTTAATTTATGTAGGCAGCTAAAGTCAAGGTAATTAAATCTGTGTAAGAACTTCCCCACCCTGGGCTCTGGTAACTCACATTCTCCATTTTGTGTCTCTGTAATTGCTGGTTATTATTTGAAGTTCCATGTGAATAGTTTAAAAATTCTTGGTCAAGATTAAAAAAAAAAATGAAAGCAATTTTTTTAGTAACCTTAATGCATAGAAGTTACACAGAACATTTAATAACTTTGACTATAAACACTGGTCTGTAGAATGTTTTAAAACATCATCTCACATTTATCTTTCTGTACAACTTGAGTAAATCTAATGGTGTAGTAATGCAAAGTTACTGGAGGAGTGTTTGGGAGGAGAAAGAAAAGCCCCTGGGAGGTGTGGTGGTTTCTGCACACATTTTTAAAATGTGTTATTTTCAAAGTTTTCCATGGTATGCAATTGAAAGGATTTCCATCAATCTTCAAAACATTAATTTATCTTTTTTTTTTTTTTTGTTGGCTTCCAGAAAGAAGGAAGTGTTTGTTATTCTAAAGTCATAGAGCAGTGATCTGATTCATCAAAACATTTTAAACATGTGCATAGCTTTGTAATTATTTACTTCTCAGGCATAAAGAATATCTAAGCTTAAGGGCTTTTGCTGAGTCAACTCCTTAATATACCAGTTGTTTTTTTCATATATGGCCTTCTCCTGATCACCACTCAGAAACCCTTGATAATCCTTTCTATAGTGGTATTGTACTGGGCCTAACAGGGACTGGATTTTCCTCACACCAGGCCTGTATGATGTATTTCAGATTTGTCACTGAATCAGTGTTGGTACACCAGCCTTTTAGCTGTTGCTCAGCAGTGATTGCACAGGCTCAAGGCTTTTTCTGTTCTCCTCTCTGCCCACCAGCAAGCAGGCTTGTTGGGGGGGATGGATTGGGCGGGGACACACCTGGAACAGCTGACCCAACCTGGGCAAAGAGGTATTCCTTACCATAGAGTTTCATGCTCACTAATTAAACCTGGGGGGTAAATGTTCAGAAATATCTGTTGCTTGCAGACTGGCAAGTGGGAGGCGGTAAGTGATTGCCTTGGTGTCTCTTGTTCTTTGATTTTGATTTTTTTCCTTCTCTCTTTCCTGTGGTTATTAAGCTGTCTTTATCTTGACCCATTAATTTTTCTTGGTTTTATTCTTTTCATTTTTTTCCCCATCCCACTGAGGATGGGAATGAATAAGTGGTTGGTGTGTGCTTGGCTGCTGGTTGGGGTCAGCCTAGCAGAGATGGCCACAAAAATACCTGCTACTTCAGTTTCTAGCATTACCCTTCCTCAAAAACGTGTCAGACAGGTTGAAGCTAAGTCAGTGAAGCTCAAACTGGAAATACAATGTGATTTTTTTTTTTTTAACAGTTGCAGTAATGAGTCATTGCACATGGTGGAACAAGTGATTTCAACTTAGACCTTGAAATTGAAAGGAGATTACTTCAGCTAATCAGAGAAAGATCAGCTCCAGCCTATTGAGTTAGCTTTTAGGTAAGGCAGTGATGTGCAGTCAATGCTGTTTTATGCCTGTAATTGAAGTCCAGGTTGTAATAGTCTTTCCTGGTTTTTATCTATGAGTATTTCTTTTGATGTAAATCCTACGGGCCTTTCAGAAAACCAGCAGTTTTCATTTTCTTTGGCTGAACTGTGAAGTGCATGCCTTGAGGGCAGAATTTCAGTGGTTGATAGAGTGGATGGAAACTGAGGAAGGCTTCTGAATTACGCTTCAGGGAAACCTAACAGTGTTTCTGCAATAACATGAACTACCCTTATTTGATAAATCCTTGCTGAGTTAAGATAATGATATGGTAGGCATAATTCCACAAGAGTGAGATTGTCATGCAGAGATACAGAATTGAAGAAAGAAGTAAAAGCTATCATTGGAAATCTTTGTGATTCTAAAACTAAACGATGGGAGAAAACATGATAACTGTTGCCATGATTGGCATCTCTGAGAGCATGTCTTTAACCTTTTCTTCTTCTACAGAGAATTATTTAATGTTTCAGAGTAACCTAGTAGCAGTGACTTCTCTCTCAAAGGCATTCTTGGAATGCTTAAATGGGAGAAAGGAAGTATTTCAATAAAGCCACAGATTGAAGGTGTTTGAAGCTATTTTGTGAATTCAGAAGTGGTAAAATAGATTAGGGACAATGATATTTGAAATACTAAGAATAGGTGAGGAAAAAACCTCAAAGGATAAATAAGTGAAAAGATGCAGCAAGAGGTTCAGGTAGATATTGCGTGTTATAATGTGTGTGCTGGAGTTTGATCAAGTGTCATGAACTTACTCAGTGAGACTTTGAAATTGTCCACCAGACCCCATGCACTCCTCAGTAAGATCAATGATGCATATTTTATCAAGTATTACATGCCTGAGTTGGAATTATTTCAGATAGAGCTAGTTCATCTGACTCAGGGAACTGATAATATGATCCGCAAAGGATTTATAGTGGAACAAGTCTGCTGTTTCCATTCTGCTCTCCAGAGTCCCCCTTAAAAACATGGTTGGTAACAAAGCCCCCCAAATTGGTCTTTTCTTCTTGAATTGGTACAGATATTTAGTAGATGAACACTTAAGAAAGACAGCTATTCAATGATGTTTGCTTCCAGACTTCCTCCTGTTATTCTCACTCTATGAAATGTTACTTGTGCCACTAGTCCCATATCTTAGATTTCCCCAACAATGCACCTTAGGGGAATTTTCTTTGCACCCAAGCATCAGAGCCACCATATCAGCTTTGTACTTTCATTTTACTTCTATGTCCAAAGTAATTTCTCTGTGGGTTGTGTTCCCATGCTGTGTACTACAGTCTTGTGATATTAAATTTAACTGCACAGCTGTCTGAAATGTTATCAGTCAGGTTTTGAAGAAGGAACGTGTTAATTGAAAATTTTTTAGTCAATTCCAGATAAAAGTCTGAATATTTTCATGAGCAAGCTGAATAGGACTACTATTTGCTCTCAACTGTTATTCTACTATGATGAGTTTGACGTAAATAGTATGGTACAGACATATGAAATTTATTTATGATGAAAATTGTGTAGGATTAAATTATTTTATAGGGAGATGTGATGATCATGTCATGAACATAAAATATATTGAAGTCCATTTCGTTCATATTTTATAATGTGATTCTACTACTTTTATTTAAAAATTGCTCAAGAATATTTAAAGCCTGGCTGTTTTCCAGAGGAGGAATGCTGGTATTTTTCATTAATTTCCATAGAAAATAATCTTTTTCTGGTAGAAACAGTCATTTAAGCAGTCATTTCTGCTCTCATTTAAGAATTTCAGACTTCTAATTTAGTCAGTAAGAGTAATGTTAAAATATACTTTAAAACAATTATTTGTTTTTGTTTCCTTGCTTTGTTACTGCAGTAATCAGAATGGAATTCTAATAAAAAAGTGTCAGTCATTAAAAAGTTTCTTAAACCTACTGTCCTTCCACAAGTTTTCCCTCCATATTTTTTCTTCTTTGTTTACTTACAGCCTGTATGAAGGGGTTAGCAAGTCTAAATTTAGATGTTCAAGTGTCCAAGCTTCACTGTAGTCAATGCATATATCTCCAATAACTCAGTGGAGCCAGGAGAGCAGTTCTCCTTATCCTAAGTGGACATACTCTGGCTGGTCAGCTGGGAGACATCTAACTCTTCATGACTTCTTTATTGACAAAGTCACTACTGACATCACTGTGAAGACTTGCTGTATTTAATTGTATTTGAACTTCTAATTTAATCCATGAAAGCAAGAGTGTAACCCAGCCAGAATATGTGAATGCTGTGCCAGAGTCTATAAAGTCTGTACAGTTAAAATGTGATTGTTGTGTAGTTACCATTACCAGTCACAGGGCAAGATAGAATGTCTCTTAATTAACTTAATAACCTGATAGGTACATTTAGACAAGGCTAATTAGGACTTTCTTGTAATTGGGCTTATGATTAATAGACTGTGAAGACTGTTTCATTTGTATTAAATGCCTGGAAAGTTACAAGGAAATAAAAATTTGAGCCTTCATTGAATAAGTAATAGAGTACCTCAGGATAGGAAAATAGTGAAAGATATAAAGAATTCTTTATAAATTACTGCTTATAAATTCTGTATATTCTTTCTAAATAATTAATATATTAAACCGCTACTTCAGACTCTGTGTTTTTTTCAAGATCTCTTGCAGCCTCATCATGCACGTGCATGAATCTCTCTTGGAAATGTCCACAAATGAACTTAAACAAGTTGTTTTTTAAACAGTTTTAGTAGCATAGTTCAATAAACTAGTTAATGTAGGAGGATATGAAGATAGCTTTACAAACTATGAAGAAAGAAGGACTGATTTGCACAGTGCTAGGTAAAATCCATGAAGCAGTTCACTGAAAGAGCTTGTATCACTATCCTGTCCTTTCTTATTCTGCCTTTAGACGAGGCAGAGCCTAATTTGGGGCAGTATAATTGGGAAACAGCAGAAACTGATGTGTTAATCTGAGTGCTCTAGTCTGTAGTAACCATGGAGGTTTCCTTTGGCCCCTTTTCTGTGCTCCGGTGCGTCTCAAGGGTGCAGAGGGAATTCATAATTACTGACTTCTGAACAGCTTCTTCTTCACTTGTTAAACAGCTGGGAGGAAGAGACTGTGTGGAGTCCACTGATAGAAAAGAGAAAGGGATGTGGAGTGAAAGGAAGACATGGCAGTAGAAAGGAGATAGGAAGGGAGAGATTATGAGTAGCAAGCAGTTCATTTGGCAGCATGGAGACCCAATCTGCCATGGCTTTTTATTTGTTGGTATAAGGCACATTGTGCGTAGAACAACAGACTTGCCTTATTTGAATTGTAGAAAACTTAGAAATTTGAGCTAAAATGTGAAAAGTATTATTAATATTTTTAAGAGACTTATCTTTAGATGTCTTGTATTTTTGTTTTTATGAAGAGTTGAAACTTACCTGATGATTTGTTAATGAAAAAATGAATCTCAGTTTCAATGATCTTGTGCCATTTTCGTTCTGCTTTTAATGCAGAGGCATCTTCAGTGAGACTAGTTGGTCTTCTCCCTTTTCTTTTTCTTGTGAAACCTTGCCTACTTAGCACATTGTGAGTCAGATCAGACTGCTGTTAAGCAAAAAGGAATATTATTTTTGTACCTTGGATGCTTTAGTTTTTTCTTATTTAATAACATTTTTTTAGAGACATTTCAAACATGTGAAAGTATATTTAGAGTAGCATGTAGTGTGTTATTCCTACTGTCTATTAAGATGTCACCCGAGCAACAGATGAGATCATTAAATAAGCTTTTCATCATTTAATTAGAAGTTTAAGTTAGCTTTGCTACAGAATGGTGCTTTAGTTGACATTCCTAATATGTAATATCTTTCCACTTCCACAGAAGTATGTGTTTTTACTTAAAAATTAGGTGAGCACTATGTACAGTTAATGTTGGTGAAGCTTTATGCTTTTTTCTTGTTGGGTTGCTTGGGTTTGGCTTTATTCTTTTTTTTCTTGCCCCTCCAACCTCCCACCTCATGGCATAGCCAAGCAACTGAATGCAGGCAGTGAGCATATTTCCATGTAATTGCCAATTTGCTGGGGATGAAAAAAAACTCAAAGGAAATGTGAGCAGGTTGAGAGGTGAGCAGATGCAGTTGTGTCCCTTGATGAAACTGGTAGAAACTGTATGAAACTGGTAATTGTGTCCCTTGGAAGAAACTGGTAGAAGGGCAAAGGCAGTGAGGGTCATGGAGCTGTGATCCTATTTCTGGGATGTCTGGCAGTGTGTGAGGCAGAAGGATACGGAAGAGAGACAACACCTGCAGCATGTGAATGTGAATTTCCACAGAGTATATGTCTGAAGCTATTGTTCTTGGAGTGGAGGTGTTCTTTGCACTTTGTCCAGAGTTCAGGAACTTTCCAGGAACTCCATGTAAAGTGGTAAATTGGAGACCACTTCCAAACCTTTCTTGAAGCAGCTTAAGAAGTAGATTCCTAACAGTTTCTTTTCTCCCCTTTTGCAGTGGAATGCTTGTAGAGTTTTGTCATACTTAAATGGCAGATTTTATAACCTGAGTTGCCTTTGTGTTCATTTTAAGTTGCATTTACTTTTAATGACATTTCTGAGAGTGCTTGAGGCAAATCAGTTTGAGGCTTATTACACAAATAAGTAGGTTTTTTCTGAACTTCACACTCTTCAGTTTATGAGGATTTCAGCAATGTTATATATTTTTCTTTTTTTTTTTTTCTTTTCACTTTAGGTGCACAGGATTGGTACAACACATTTGTTATTCCAGATGAAAGTAGTGTCTGTCTACAGTTCTTTGTAATTTTCTAACTGCTGTCTCAGAATAGGACTGATTATTCTCTTGGACAGCACAGATCTCTATATGACTTGGATCTTATTATCAATATAACAGTAGGTACAAAAAGTGGTCCTTTTTAATAGAATCTAGTTTCACATCACCGTGGTCTTTAGGTTTTTTGCTACATCTCAGTAGCAAAGGAATCCTGTATTCAGTTTTATTTTATTAGATGCATTTCTAAGGAATCCTGTATTCAGTTTTATTTTATTAGATGCATTTCTGTTACTTAAAGACCATTTCTTCCTGCTACAAGCAGATCAGTTATGGCAGCAATCTAGTAGCATTTGTTGTATATTGGTATGTAAGCATTCTAAAATTTCTCATTTTTCTGTATTACCTTTTTCAGTACTATGTTAATATTGCAATTAATCTAAGACAAAAATAATTTTCAAACCATGATTCTGAGAAATTATTTAAATTACAAGTCAGCTGTAACAGATTGGCACTTTTCCTTTGGTAATAGAATCCTCTCCAGTGGAATTACTACAGCTATTGTGGTCCATTACAAGCACTAGATTACATCTTCCCATTGTCACTAATTCTGCTTTTTGGCAGGAAAAAGAATAAAGGTTTGCTGTTAGTATTGCCAAGCAACTAAAATATGAATTACTGCAATTCCAGAATTTTTCTTGTATGATGTATATCGGAGGGTTTCTCCTACCTCAGTAAGAGGCAGTCCAGATGAAGTTATACTCCATAGCTCCAACAATTCTAAGATTAGTAAGTAGCTTAATTTCTTCCTGTTTAGTTCCAGTTCAAAAACAGAGACAGCCAGGGTTTTTCATTTCACTGAGGATAAGTATCAAAAATGGCATCACAGAAGATTGTGTCTTGACAAGAAATGTGGGCAGATGGGGCATATTTTCTCCTTTTTGTGGACAAATAGAACTTGCTATGCCTTAGTAATCCTGTGTGCAGTTATTCATGTTTGCTGCTATTTGGTGTACTTCCTCTGAAGTACCCGTTTCCCAACACACTTAATTGATGGTAATGCTAAGTAACTACTGACATTTGAAAAAAAATTTATTACATGAAAGTGTGTGGAAAAGATGAAGTAGTGCTAGAATTAAGTGCATGTAAGTTGTGTTAAGGTTTATACTTGGGAAAAGGTGAAGAGAGAATACATGCTCTGAATAACTTAGTTGTTTTGGGTTGTTTATTTTTATTTTGTTCTCATTTTGCTGTACATTCCTGTAATTTTTTACTTCTGTGGAGCTTTTTCATTTTGCAGCAGCGGCCACAGATCTCCTGTAGAACTAAATGGGTTTCAGGGTCACCTCACCTGCCCTGAGTCATTCATTTCCTCTCAGAGTACATGCGTGCAGCACAGCCACAGCTTCTTTCTGGATTCTTAATGTGTTTTATGCCTAGGAAGCCAGAAAGAACCCCAGCAGCAATAATGGAGAGTGTTTCTTTTCCTGCAGCCCTGCACAGCCAAGGTGCAGAGCAGCAGTTGGATAGCACCAATGCATGGCATAGAAGATGCTTTCCTTGTTGATGTTGGCTTTATATCCATATCTGCAACAATGTAATAAAATATTTCTTTATTTCTATATTATAGTGTTTTTGAGGATTTGCTTTGAAAATCATCTACTTGTTTGATCAGACCTTGGAGTTCCCAGATATGAATGCATATTTGAACCAGACAGTTGTTCTGTATTTGGATGAGATGAAAATTCACAAACTTTCCTGAATCTCCAATTTCTAATGAGAAGCAGCTTAGATGTATTGGTCAGAGAAGAACTACTTGCAGCTCTGAAGAGGTGCTGGTTCTGAGTAGTTAAATGGACAGCATTGCTGTTTGGGATAAATTTGAACAGGACAAATTTGAACGCAGGCTTTTTTAACCTGTGTTCCAGTGGATAAGAGACTGCATAGGCTGAGAACACTTCCGATATGAGCACTTCATAGGACCAAAATAGCAGTAGTTTGAGGAGGTGGATGTTCCAGCTGTTGTCTTCTATTTGAAAACAAACCTTTCCTTTATAAATGCTCATTTTCTTTTGGCAAATGCAAGATTAGTTTGGGTGCAATATCTCACTAATTTTTTCTTTTGGCTTAATTTCCTAAAGGAGTTGATGACCAAGCTGATAACGGAGACACCTGACCAGCCAATCCCATTTCTAATTGATCATCTTCAGTCCAAGCAGGGAAACCGTGGTCAGCTTCAGAGAACATTGTCTGGCTCTGCTGCCCTCTGGGCAGAGAGTGAAACCTCAGGTATGTTCTGTGCACTGGAAAGGGCTCGTCTCCATTCTAACCTCCCCACACTTGTGTCCGTGATTTCCTGGATGCACATGTACCTACTGAACAGGTACTGCTTTATGGTTTTGAGCAGAATAAATCCTGTTTATCTAGCAGATACTGAATTTAATATACATTGCTGTCTGTCAGCACAGCCTAGGTATATGTCATGTGAACATGCATCAGAGTTACAGAATGGAAACATCCCAGTCTCAGTGAGAGAGGTTCCCTTGCTGTCCTCTTTCTTTGTTTTCTTTTTCCCTCCCATGGTGTATTTGTACTTGAGATTAAACACTATTGAGATATTATCTTTAATAATACATGTTTTTATATAACTATCATCCCCACCCTTAATGAGGAGCTGCTATGCTACTTTATAAACTCCAGTGTGAATAATTTATGATTGTAAAATCTTCAGAAGCATTAAAATAATATTCTGAAGTAGTATCCGTTCTGATTGTAAAGTAGAAGTCTTGGTTTTTGTATTCTGGTACAAGCTACTATTACAATATTAGTTTGTGTTTAAAAATTGGCTAATGATCTGTTTTAGACTATAGAGTTTAAATAGTTCCTGTTAGCCAAAGTGTTAATTTACTGACAAATCAACCATTTATATCAAATACACAGTTTTAACATAGGCAGTAAAACATGTACATAAAATTGACATTAAGTATTTTTCATAACAAAAAATAGACCTTTTTAATGAAAAATATACTAATTTCTAAGTTTTGGTATTTTAAAAGTGGAATAAATATAATAAATATAAAACCAGTCAGAAATAGGAGGAAAAAAGAGCTGTCTTTAATTTGGATTGATATACCTTGGGGAATTTTTAGTTAATTGTTTGTTAAGTCTTTGAAAAATTACCCTACAAATGTTATGATTCTCTAATTTGATTCTTTTAACAGAAAATAAAGGAACAAGAAGAGATTTTAGAAATTATGATAAGCCTTGGCAGGTAAATGCAAAAAAGCCTAAGAAGTCAAAGAGCGACCTTGCTGTGTCCAACATTTCTCCACCATCACCGGAGTCCAAGTCATGTAAGAAAGCTTCACTACATTAATAATTTGTGCATACTTTTCAACCTATATGATCTTTTTCATTTGAATAAGGTTTAAAATGGAAAGCAAACTGTAAGCAGGTGAAATGCCTATATATATATATATATGTTAGAAGAGGAAGAGTTTGATTCTTGGCTTAATCTCACTTGAATTATAAATATTTTGTAATGCCCTATGTTTTCATCTGTAGATATAAAAGAACTCTGAATAGATTGATTGAAAACCAGACTAACATCTGGGTGTCATGTGATATTTTATGTTTGGATACTGATTATGATTTGATGTTTTAGTTTACATTGCCATTTTGCATGTGTAAAATCTGTTCTGTTGATATTGGTCCTAATAGATTTTTTTTCTGTGTGTCAGGGAATTCAAAACTGTGAATTATGAACAGATACTGTTCAAGGTATGGGAGTAGTGTCAGCAGAACAGGTGTACTGTTCTGACAGTTGCTGAAGGAATCTAAATGTACACTGAAAGAAAAGGTAGAGTAAAAATAGAGCAGCTGAAGAGAATATTGTCAACTACCTGTAAAAAACTAGTGAAAATGAAGACAACAGGTCTTAATGAAATATGCTTCCTGTGTACTGGCTATTGAAGAAATCTAAATTTTAACTTGATTCTTAATGTTGCGGTTTCTTCACAAATAAATATATTTGCAATATGCATACCTATATAAATATAGTTACAAAACCAGGGAATTGTTTATATAAGATTTTTTCTCCAAAATAAATTGAAAAATTAGATTTTCTTCTGTTGACTCTTGTAGCTTTTTGATATTTTTATAATAGCCAAAGCTTTATAGTGCTGAGTGTGACTGGGTGTACCAGATGAGAACATAGATATAGTATGGTGCAATAGAAAATTTGCTGTCTTTCCTCTGAAAAGCAATATGGGAAAGTCTAGACTTAGGAGTCAAGGAAAATTGCCCAGTGACCTCACTAAGTCAAAACACTACACAGCAATGAGTAAAGTAAATAATGATAAATTTATACAATGGAAATACTGTGCTTTTGAGTGATTAATAATCTTGTATGATTATGAAACATTTTTTACTGAGAATAAATACCTGCAACAAGTTAAAAGAGCTGTTACAGGTGGCTGTGTCCCATTGTACAGGATTTTCTCAGGAAATTGAGCATTTGTCTGTTTTTCTTCTTCATGAAGCCCATTACCTGCTTCAAAACCACTCAGATCTGATCATCAATTCCATTGTGCCTCTCAATGGGCACATGGATTTTTAAGTCTGTTCAAAAGAAGCATGTGTATTTTAACTTATTTTCAAGAATAAATAAGAGACATTCCAATAAATACTTATAGTCAGTCTGTGTCTTATCTAACAGATTTGTTAGAAAACAGCAATTTGTGGAGATCCACTGTTAGATACTGGCCAAAAAGTATTGTGAGCTGTTCCTGTCATCATACTATGTTCCTTCCTTCTGCCCTGTGCTTTCTTTTCAGACTCTGTGGTGTGCAGCAAGTAACTTTGATGCCATCTCCTAAAGATCTCGAGTTCTCTACCTTTATCCCAGATGGGGGGTGAGGGGGTAACATCATGTCACTCCCCTCAAACGTGCCTACTGCAAGCTTTGTGCTTGTTAGTCCTTAGGTTGTCCCATCAGAGGGACAAAGGGAAGGCTGGGCATTCTAAACTATCCGGTCTCATGTCATGCAAAGAAATATTTTGTACATCTGTGGACTGAAGGAAACTTACTAATACTCTTCAGTTGGTAAGACTTACTCTCAAGCTACCCAAGTCTAGAAACAGTGTGTGGGAGTGCAGCTTTGCCTACAAAGGAAGAAGAATTAGGGTGTACTTAATGCAACTGACATTCATAAATACTTGGCACTACATGGGATTGATTCTAAGCATGCTGAAAGAGGAGACTAATACCATTCCAAGGCCATTCTGTCATCTTTGAAAGGTCATAGTTATTGTGGATGTTCCTGATGATTAAGAAAATGCAAATATCTCATTGATTTTGTGGAAGGGCAAACCTCACCCTCTGCAAGGATTATTGAGCAAACTTTCCTGAAAGGTGTTCCTAGTCACAAGGAAGAAAATGTGATTTGGAACATCAAGCATGGATTTATGAGACCATATATGTCTGATGAGATCAACACAGTTGCCCTCTTTGGTGAAATAACTGGCCCTGTAACCAAAGAAAGAGTGATGAATATTTCATACCATGACTTTAGCAAAACCCTTGTCCGCTTCCAGTGTCCTTATAACTCAGTTGATAAGATATGGACTCAATACGTGGATAAGATGATGCATGGAAAGTTGACTCAGCTGGTGGATTCAAGGGATTGTGACTAGCCAAAAGGTATTGTGAGCTGTTCCTGTCATCATACTGTTTTCCTTCCTTCCTCCAAAGTCCAATTGGAAAGTCTATCTTTAATGGCATGCTCAAAGGACTGGTACTGTGATTGATGCCATTTAAAAGGATTTCCTAATGCCTTGGATGATGGGATAGAATTTCTCTTAGGTTTATGGTTAGACCAAGTTGTGGGAAGTGGTTGGTATTCTGGATAGTACGAGTGCTATTCAGAGGGATAGGACCAAGGAATGGACTGAGTGGAACCTCTTGAAGTTTGACACAGGCAAATTCAAAGTCCTAGATCTTGGATAGCATATGTCTGAGCAATAGTGTAAACTGGTATGTGTGTGCCTACAAAGTAGCTTTGCAGAAAAAGATGTGGGATGCTGATGGACAAGGACTTGGAATACAAACCAGCTGTTGCTGTGTGCTCATGCAGTGCTGAAGGTGACCTGCATGCCAGGCTGCAGTAGCAAGAGTAGAGCCAGCAGTGTTTGTTTTTGAGGTGGCATCTGGAGTCTGTTGTGAGAAACAGTGATGTACTGGAGCAAGTCCTGTGGAGGTTCAACAAGATGATGACAGGGTTGGAGCATGTGATGGACCTGAAAGGGACTGGTTTGGTCGTACTGAAGAAATGAAAGCTCAGGGGAGATTTCATTGTTACCATCAGCTAGTATGCTGGAGGGTGGATGAGAAGACATACTCAGATTTGTCTTCTCAAGAGTGTTTAGTGAAAGGACAAGAGGAAACAAAAATTATAATGCATGGATAGTCAGATACAGGAATAGGTTGTCTAGAGAGGCTTTGTAATCACTATCATGGAGTATATTTAAAACTGAACTGAATATTCTGAGAAACCTGCCCTCAATGGAGCAGTCTAGGGCACCAGGCTGGGCTAGAAGACTTCCAGAGCTACTTTCCAGCCTAATTATCCTCTGCTTCCATGCTTTGCTGTTTATGCATTTCAGTTTTTTTCCATAACATTGATTTTTTTAAACCTTAATTAATCCTATTTTTTCATTACTTACGTCTGCAACTTTTTGAAAATAGTTTGTATATTTGAACTACTTTTTCTTTTAGTTGCTATTGCAGAGATTGGTTTCAGACATGTGCCTTTTTGCCATACCTTGCAGCTCTTATTTTCTGCCAAATGGATCAATATTCTTACATTAATGTATATATATTTATATATATATATGAATATATGATATATTTATATATATAAATATATGAATATATATATAATATATGAATATATATAATATATATAATATATGAATATATATATAATTTATTTATATATATATAAATATATTAATATTTAGATTATTATTCTAAATATGCTTTTGACCTTTCTTTCTGGTTTATGCCAAAATCAGCAGGTACCACGTACCCCTTCAACTACACAGATCAGCAAACAAGTGTGTTTAGAAGGAATTCTGTCCTAATGTGCGCACCATATTCCATTTGTTTAGTGTCTTCAGCTTCTACCTCTTGTACTTTTTTTCACAAAGCATCTCCAAAGAGGTAGTAAGGACTCATCTGAGAAACAGAAAGTTTTGGACCTGTGGAGAACTAAAGATTTACTCTCATATTTGTTTTTTAAAAAAAAGAACAAATCCCCACACCCAAGAATCTAAAAAGCACACCCCCAAAGTGCCAAAACAAACCCAAAATTTAATAGAGTCCAACTCTATTATGTTCTGTTTCAGGGTTTTTGTCTTGTGACTGTCTGGTTGAAATGATCACAAACTTGTACATTTATTCAGAGCTGTCCTTTCATAGGAATGTTTGGGAACATGAGGATATTCGATTTATTTGATAGGGAAATATTTTTTTTAATTCAGCAGAGTGATGTCGATTGCAGTGTGCATATTATTGCTGCACAAATGTCTCTTCCCTATGCTTTCAACTTTTTTACTGGAAAGATACCTCCACTCCCTCCTGCCTGTTATGATCTCAGGTGCACCTGGAACACACAAGCAGTTGTTAATATCTAAGCCATCTGACCACTTGTTTGGTGTGTGCAAAACCAGAGTTAACCAGAAGCTGCTGCTGTTGTCTGGCAAGGAGGAAACTTGGAGCTAGGGGTGTTTGTGTGTATAAATGAAATGTTTAAATGATCACGTTCTGTATCTGAAGAAAAACACATTTGGAAGTTTCAAACTAGTTTGTAAAACAGACTTTTTGTTTCCTAGCAAGCTACTTTTAGGCAAAGTAGGTTGATCTCTTCACTACCTCCATATTATATCAGATTACAGATCATCCTTTCATGCTGCTTCAGTTCAGCATTCTCACCACATCCCATATGCAAGTACAGTGTTGCATGCTTCTAGTTGCTCTCAGTCAGTCTAAACTGTAACCATCATCCTTTTAGCCTTTTAATATCCAGATACTATGTAAACCAGTTTGGATTTATTATCAAAGAACTCCAACCTGAATGCAAGATTTAAATACATGAGTAATTTTTACATTATATTATATATATTATTATATGATATACAGTAATTTTATATTATATGTACATATTTTTGTACTTTGAGATGTAACATGGCCATACAATGCATTAATGAAATGTTGGATTTAATGAGAAATTGGTCTGATTCTGTCTGCAGACCATGCATTGAAAAGACTTGTATGGGTAGATAAAACCAGTATTGACCTTTTACCATCATCCAGTAGAAAATAAAGGTGTGCTGATTTGTGGTAGAATTCATAACACAATTGTAAAGGAATATAATGTGCATTTACTGTCAGGACACACCACCAGAAAATCAGAAATACTGGTAAGTGTGTCTGTCCATTCTCCTAAGATGAGATGGTGAAATTTCAGCTCCCTAAAGGGAAACGTTACATCTTACAAATCCTACAATGTAGATGTAATAAATCTTCTGAATTATAGGGATATTATTTTAAGAGGAAGTGTTATATAATATATAAATCTCTCAAATAACAAAGATGAGGTTGAAGTGTGTAATGTGGTAAGAGAATTGAAATTACTGATTGATTTTGTGGAATGAGTGAGTGTAGTAAAGAAGGAGGAAGGTCAGAGTGTAATGAAAGGGTTTTGCTAAGTGTGTAGTGACACATGCGTGTAAACGATTAGTGACGGACTTTGTGCGTACAGAGGAGGATCACGTATTTGAGAAGAGTCCTAAGAGGGGTCATATGGTGTTTGTACAGTTCTGTATGCTTCCAACAAAGGCATTCATTTAAAAATTACCAGTGCTTGTTGATCCTACAGCTGAGAAGAGAAGGGTTTATGTTTTGAAAAAATCTGTAAGCAAGAAGGAAATGAACTTGAAAGAACAAACATGTGCCACTTTATTCTACTAAAAAGATGTTGGTTTAATATCCATTCATTATTTGAGAGACTAGGTAAGTAGGAAGAACTATGTCTTCTCTGGAAGTAATAAAAATTTCAGTCAGTTCTAATTCTGTTTAACTTCTTGGTTTTGATTCCTCAGAATGAGCCAAATCATTGTTGAAACAAATTGTATTGAAGCATAGGAATAATTCATGACAGTGTATATATTTTGGTACCTTTTCACTGAAGTACAAAATGGCTCAGTAAAACACAGCTGATTGTCCACCAGCATGCAAAGCAAATTTCCACCATGGTTTTGACTGATTTCTCATTATTCATCTAGTGAGTTGCAGACTAAGCTTCCTGTGTTTGTGAGACGTTTCTCTGAAATGAGCAACCAGGTCACTGTCCGTACTTTTCAAGAGCCAGAGTCTTGAGACTTTCTTTTTCCTCATGTCAGTCAGTCCATATACTAGGCAGCTGCTGATCCTGGAAACTCCACAGCTGTCAAGTAGCTTACGTCCCATGATAAATTATCATGCTTATCTAGTTTATGTCCCATGATAAATTTTGCTTCACAAGCATATGGTTTCTCAAAAGTCCTTTTTTATTTTGAAAAAATGTGTTTTGTTTCAAACTGACGTGTGGAAGTTTTCTGCCACCTGGAAACTCCAAGGTTTGGTAATTTTTTTATGTGGTTTTACTGTATTAAATTGTTGCCTGTTGGTATTCTGGTGGTACTGAGACAATTTTTTGGTGTGACAAGTTCAGCATAAACATAGAAAGTCTGTCATACTGCTAATGAGTGATTGCTGTAGAATATAGAGTTGGCACACAGAAGGATGATGGTAAGATGACTGCAAAAGGACTCAGAGAGAGCTCATTATAGAATTTCTTTTCTAGTTTATTAAAAAATTTATATTTACAGTTAGTAATAATTTTGAAAAAAATACTAGGTGGAACATTTTGTTTTCTGTAAACAAGCAGAAAAGAATGAGAACTGCTGAAGTTGTGCTGTTTAAATTGTACATGCTAAAGTCTTTGAATGGAGTTAACTTTTTTTACACAAGAATTTATGTAACTTTTAATTGATCTAGAAGTTCTTTAACCAGGGAATTATGAAGTAGTGTTTGAAATTTGTAAGTATCAACAAAAAATTACAAGCTGCTCATCTGAGTTGAGGCTATTCATACTCTAATACCTTAAAGTCTGTATGTATTTACTGGGAACTACTATAGCTCATTATTTCCATTGTCCTTAGAAGGAAATACAATACTTGCCTTTTTTGGACACAGAGCAGAGCAAGACTCTGACACTTCAACTTGCTCCTCTCTTCTCTTGTCCTTATTGAGAGTTCTTATGTCCTTTTCCTTCTATTCTTATCACTGTAGGTCTTTTTAAATGTCTCTTTTGTTTTCTGTCTTTGAGAATGTCTGTAATTGCAGTCTAATACATTAACTTCCCTATCAGCCAGGTTTCTGAGTGGGTATTACAGATCAGGATGTACTCTGGGTTGTCAGACTCTCCATAGATGTCTGTTTTGAGGATGAGTTGGTTTATGCCTACAGGAGGTAAAATAATTTTATTTGTGAAGGAAGGACTTCAGCATAACTTTGTCCCATTTCTTTAGGTGACTATTGACTTAACTCCGCAAGGGGAAGTTGAAGTTGATCCAAAGTGGAGCAGATTATGTATTCACACAGAGGAAAGTCAGCATTAAGGCAAATTTCAATACCAAGTTATTTAACACATTTTGTAATAGCTAGCAGACTTGATGTCTGAGCATGATTTCCCCATACCATCATAAAAGCAGTCTGAAGTTCCAAATTATCACGAAACCACCTTTTTAACACAATCTATAGAAGTCTGTAAGTTGCCTTAGCATGTAGTGAAAATGATGTTTATAACCATAGATTAGTTGACAGCTGTCAAATTAGTAAACAAAGATTTTGAAGCTGGCCAAGATATTTTAGGCTTTTCTTTGAAGTTATTTTTAAGTCAATGGTCAGCAACTAGTGAATGATGGTTGGTAAAATTGCAACTGGTCCTTTCTGGTGGAAAGGTGGACTAGACACCATCATCTTCACACCAGCATGGTAATGCTGTGTGGAGACAACCCAAGTGTTGCATTTCTTGGCAAAAGCAGCAGCTCACTTAATTCTGAACACTGGCAAAAAGAACATGTTAAACTGCAGTTCCAGAAATGGCATTGTTTTTGTTTTCATTTCTACAAATTGTTCAAAATGTTCACGTTGTTCAAAGAAGCTCTGTTCATTGTGTGTCCTACATATCTCAGATACTCCTCTTTGTTGTAGGTAAACTTAGCTCAGCAGTTGAGATACTGTTATTTTAAAATTAAAGGCTTTGGGAATAGATAATGAGCAGCAGAGTGTAAGCTCAGGTCTGTGCTTCCCAAAGGTTGAGTTTGTTTAAGTAGTGCAATGAAGATTAGAGGCTGTACAACATGCATGATAAGGACTTTCTTTGTTTCACTGTTTTTTATGAACTTTATGATTTTTGAAAAAGAAAAAAGTTATTTTAAAAGGTGTATCTAAAATATCTTTTCTTCTTGATAAAGTAACTAGCAAAGTCAGAAGTTACTCATTTTTCTTTCAACATTTTTTCTTACTGATCCCTAGGCCACACAATTCTTTTTTGTTGTAAATTAGATACCATCATGTACAATATTTTAAATACATTTTTATACATTAGTTTTATTATTTTCAATTATGAATGTTAATTATCCTGTTTACCAATTAATTTGTTGCAAGAATAATTCAGGTATGCATTTGTTCACAGATGTTTTTACTTCACATGGACCAAAGAAAATATTCCAACAATTAAAATAAAGGGATAGTTAACTAATTTCCACCCAAGACACTTGGGCTTGTAAACTCACTGTGCAGATTTTTTTCTACTGTAGGAGTCTGAACTACCAAATCTAAACTTCATCTATATATCTGTGTATATTTAGTGCCAAGGTCAATAGAGCATCCTAAATGGGATTGGAAGACAAAACCGGAGAACCATGATTTTGATGAACTAAATCATATTCTTCAAGAGAGCAAAAAGCTTGGAAAAGCCCTTGAGAATCTGTCTCGCAGTAAGTTGATTGATTTTAGTTTTTTAATGTAACCATGCAGCCTGAATTGTAATTTGGAAGTATGTATCAGGAAGGTGGTCTTCTCTCAATGAAGACCAAGGTCATTGACATCAGCACTTAAATTCCTGTTAAGGTTTACAGATTGTCTGAGATAATTCAGGAACTCTCCTGGAAACTGAAAATACTACCCCTGCACCACCTTTTTCCTTTTTTTACTTTAGTTTGCTACTAGTTTAGTGAGCTGAATTAGCTCATAAGGAGATCAATGCAAGTGGCTGGTTTAATGAAAATGGTGGGAACATGCAGCAGGAAGATTGCTCCTTTGTGTGGTAGTTAAATGGATTAACCTTTGCAAAACCTTAGCCTCGTTGATGGAGTTCAGACCTGTTACTGAAAAACATGTAGCTATTTTGTATCCTTGATTTCATTGACCTTCTGGTTTTCAAAAGATATTACAATATTTTAAAGTATCTCAAATAAGTACTCAGAAACATTAAATACAGTTATTTCATAATAAACCCCATGTATTATCCCTTAAACACTCATGTGTAATGAACAGCTCTGAATCTCACTGGATATGATCAGGAATAGTTGCTCTTTTTTTTCTTTTTTTTTTTTTCTTTTTTTGCTTTCTTTCCTGTAGAAGAGAATTCTGAAATACATTTGTGGGAGCAAAAACTGCTAACAATTTTTAAAGTATGAAATGATGACAAGTACTCTTTGCCATGCTACATGAAAACTAAGTGTGACATGATCTGGGAGATATTTGTGTGAGAAACATTTATTTCTTCTCTCAGGAAATTTTATCCCTGGAAGTTCTTGATTCACTGGAGAATTTACAGATAGTGAGGTCAGTGTGAGCTGAATGAGGCACAGAAGATTTGTTTTGCAATTAATTTTGAGATTCAGCATTTTTTCAAATCGTGCCAAATACCCAAAACTAGTTTTCCCAAATCACACTCTCCCAAATGTTTTAGGTTGATCACAACAGTTATATTCTGAACAATTTTCAAACTTTTATTTTAGTTACAGAGCTTTTTTTGAAATACTTTTCTAGTAAATTGGTCTATCTGCCTGTGAGGAGCTCTAAACCAGCTCTGGTCAACATCTCTGATTTGCAGCCTCACTGTTGCCTGACTGTGATGGATGTGGGTATCATTTTCAAGCTTTTCTCCTTCAGAGACTTGTAGCCAAGCTATGCACAGATACAGAAACAAAATTTTGAATTTCAGAAAGGGTTATCTATTCACTCTCTGGAGATCCAGACCAATCAGATGTGAGAGTTCAATAATTAATGCCTAAATCCACTCTTCAATCTTACATCTTTGTCTTTCCTTCAGAATGTTGTGAAGTTTCCACTTTTACCTAGAACTATGCCTATACTTCCTTATATCTGAAATAGATTTTGCAGTATTCTATACCTCTCCTTGCCCCCCAGTTTTCTAATGGAGTGTAAAACTCTGCAGCTCTCCTGGGTCCTACGCTTGGACTGGCTGAATGTACCTGGTCACCATTGTAGGAGTTTGTTTTTCACAGTTATTTCACAAATGAAACATTCACTGTTTCTTGCTAGTACTTGATGCTTTCTGGTGGTTTGTCAAGATGATATGGGAGTTGAATCCCATCCCCCAGAGTGCTTTAAATCACTCACAGCCTGTAAATAAGTTCACTGTCATGAATGTGCTCTCTATTTCTTCATCCAGATCATTAATGGAAATATTGTCAGACCTCTTCACGATCCCATTTCAGATCTGACAACCAGCCCTTGAAAGCTACTCAGTAAGTGTTTTTTTTTCCCACCAGATGTTTTTCTACCTTGCAGTGTTTTCATGTAGATTGTAATTCTCTTTTTTTTACTGAAGTATCTTCTAGGATAGTAAAGAGTCTTATAGCTGGAGTATTTTGCATCTGCTTCTTTTTCTTATCCACTAGGCAGGTTTCCCAGTTGAGAATGCAATTAGACTAATTTAATGTGATTCATTCTTGATAAATTCATGTCAGCTCATTCTTATCGCCTTTCTATTCCATTAGATGTTGATACATTATTTATTTAATAGCTTTGTCTATGATTCTTGCTGTTGTCTGATTTAGGCTTCGTAGTTAGTAGTTGCCCACATCTTCCCTTTTTCTTTTTCAAAGACATGTATTTGTCCTTCTCTGGCCTCTGTTCCTGAAAGGCAGTTGCTAATGGATTTGAAGTTTCTTCAGTTAGTTTGTTAGTTAAATGCTCTAGAATGAATTTCACAAGAGTCTGCTGATTTGAATATATATAATTCACCAGCATATCTTTCAGCTTCCCTTGTCTGGCTTGCAGTTTTTTCCTCCTAAAATCACTACTGTTAAGCATCCGGCTGCAGGTGTTTGTTTTTTTGTTTTTTTTTTTTTTTTTTTTGCAAAGACTGGAGCAGAGAAAGTATTGAACACTGGGAATTCTTTCTATCATCTCGTATTTGCTTCTTTCTCTTTAATATGATAGTTCTTTATTTTAATTTGTTCTCCTTTTCTAGTGTATTTATAGTATCTTTTTTTAAGACTTTTTATGTTCTTTTATAGTTATTAGTTCCTCTGCACTTTAACCTTTTTCCTTGTTGGTATAATTTAAACACTTGCATCAGATTAATTCTAAGATGTATCTCCTAGTTTCCAGGGTTTGTTCTTCTGATTTTCACTTCATTTCAAGAAATAAAAAAAATCTTTGCTATTATTTCTTACCTGTCAGCCTGGTATTGAAAAATCAAAATGAAAAATGTGAAAATTTTATAAATAGAGAAAAGGTGGAATTTTGAAAATCAATTTTACTGTTCTCTCAGATATAGCGTTTAGATTGCACATAGGAGATCTTAGGGAGCTTCAATGGATAGAAGGTGTAGGACTTTAAAAGTATAAGGTGCATGGAACTCATTTTGTGCTGTATCCAAACAAACATCCCATGGGGTGAATTTTAAAAAAGCCATCACAAGATCCCACATCTGCCTCTCTTGAAGCTTGTTTCGGACAGCCTAGTTAGTGCTTTTTTTTTTTTTTAGTTCCTAAAAGCATGCCATGCATTTAGTGCTGCATTTGATACTGATCTTATTTTGAAGTGGTGTGGGACGGACACTGGGCTCAACAGCTGAGTACACAAATGATCAAAATATACTATTAATGGCTTTTTACAGCACCTTCTCTTTTTTCCTTCAGTATTTCAACAGTGAAGAGTGACACATGAAATGAAGTGTTTGAAGTTAAATGAATTTTCCATCAAGTCCTGGAATTTATTTACATTTTAAAGATAAGCTCTGGATCTTTTAGTGAGTTTCCATGACTTTGTTGCCTTTTAGGTAGCTGACATAGCCTGTGAATTAAATTCCAGTTTCTATTGCTTCATTTGCTATGCAGTCTAGATACGTGCTTTGAGACAAACCTGTGCACTTCATGCAAAATTAGAACTGCCTGTAAGATTTGGAAGGTGAGACTTGAGCACAGAGATGTCTGGTCTCTTCTATATTCATCCCTAGGGATTAAAACTAGGGATGGTTGAACTTGCTTTTATTTGGACCCTTTCTCCCAGTCCCTGTCAAGAGTAAGTAATTCTGTGCTTTAGTAGGTCTGAGAAACCAGCAAGTGACTCCACACTCTGAGTTGAAAGTATTTTAGGAGTTTTGAGAGTCTGGAGAAGATTATTTTTGTAATTATGGTCCAAGTGTGGTGGAGCTTGCTGATTTAAGTATACAATTTTTCAGAGGTTTACCTACATGGGAGAGCTGGATTTTGTTTGCTTCTTCAATCAGCTGTGTGTCATTGAACTGGATTTGGAACTATCAAGTTATCTATTTAGGGAAGATTTTAGTTTATAAAGCAATTTACAGGAATATACTGCGTTTCCCTTGTGCATGTTTAATTTTCTTTTATTGCAAGGTCTCCTACCTTTATTGTTGTCATCCTTCTTCCTGTGCTGATCATGAAGAAGAAAAATTCCATCCTGTTTCAAATATATGCCCTTGTATTTCACCTTCTGGCCTGTTTGCCTTTAAACAGAATTAAAATCTGTAAAGCCTAAGGATCTTGCTAATGAATGCCTTTGATCTTGCCTTTGTCGTTCCCCTATTTTCTGAGCATGGAAAAATAGATAACAAGATATGGAAACCAGTGAATTATGAGAGTTTTGAGTAGGGGAAAACTGAGGACTAAATCACTGAGATCATGCTGCAGTTAGGTGGGAAGTCTGCATACTTGATGAACAACTTTGCATCTTTTATAGGCACAGTTAAGGATTAGGGTGCATATTGAAAATGTGTGCATATTGAAGGTGCTGGTAACTGTATTTGATGAAAAAAACATCTTCTGCTGTGAGATAGGTACTCTTCCATAATCACAAATAGCATTTTAGTGAAGGTAACTGCCATTTTGTTAGTAGTGTTTAAATGCTTGTTCAGGGCAGGTGTACACTTCAGATCAGAGGGGAAGAAACAAATTTGTTGTGCCTTGAATTCAGTTGATATTCTAAGGTAAAAAATGGTAATAAGTTCACATTAAGCAAAACTATGAATCCAAGTCAGTTTCAGGGAATCCCAGAAACAATGGTATCTATGTACAACCAACAGGAGAAAAATCCTCTTTTATTTCTTTGAAGGGGAGTAATCAGTAAATAATCAGTAAATGAGAAAACCGTGGTTTTCCATCTAGTAGGAGATACTGCTGGAAATTATAAGGAATTATAGAATCACAGAATGGTTGAGGTTGGAAGGGAGCTCCAGAAGGCATCTGATCCATCGCCACTGCTCAGGCAGGCTCACCTAGAGCCAGGTGTCAAGGCTCTTCAATACCTTCAACAACAAGAGATCTCTAAGTCCCTCCAGAGTATCTCAAACAGTTATTTATCATAATATTAGAATCAGTTGATGTTGTTTATAATTTTGTTAAGAAAGGCAAGCATGATCTTCCCTCTTTAAGAAAAGAATAAAATAGTAAAACGTAAAAGCATATGTTCTGTTTATATTTCACAGAGAAGACAAGCAACA